ATATATATATATATATATATATATATATATAGATGCGCCTGTCTTTATGCATGTGTAAGCACACAGTACATATGAAAGAAATGCACACAAATATAAAATATGTGTATTTCTCTCGTGCACATGAAATAGCACGTATAGCTGTGTATTCTACATACATCTACTGTGTATATGCGTAAATACATATATATAAATATGTATGTGCATGAATTATACATATATGTGTACACTTTCTGTGAATATCTATTTGGAGTGAACATATTAGTGTTGGAAGGGGAGACGTCTTACCGTCTGCCTCTCCACAGTTGGCCGGGTTTTGAACGTAAGGCTCCTTAGGGAAGGCGAGGGGCCTCGTGGGGCCCTTGGGGGTCAAAGGGCCCCCTAGGCCCCCCCCACCTGCTGTGGCAGCTCTTTCGAGCTGCTGCTTCTCAAGCATCAGCAGGTTTATTTCCCTCCGCTGCTCCTCTAGCAGCTGCTGCAGCTTCTGTTGCTGCAACCGGGTCCCCTGAGGGTTTAGGGGAGCCCCTTGCGGGTTGGCCCTGCGGGCCTCTTCGTGGACTGGCTCTCTAGGGTCCCCCTGATAAAGGGCCCCTCTGGCTGTATGCTGGGGGCCTCTCCAGCTGTTGCTCTTGCTGATACTCCTAGAGGGATTAGAATATTCTGATTCTGCTGAGGGGAGGCGGGAGTGCTCCGAGGGGCCCCTCTTGGGTCCTTCCCGGGGGCCCCCTGACCTTTTCCCCTCATTCAAAGCCTTCAGGTGCTTCTGCAAAGACTCTTCTCGCAGCCGCTGAGACTCCGTTGAACGCAGCAGCCTCGGAGGGCATGTAGAGGTCCCCCCTCGCCCCTGGGCCCCTGGAGCGGCTCCTTTCACGGGGCCCCCCAAAGAGGTGTTTCGGGGGGCGCCCTCGAGGGCCCCTCTCCTTTTTGCCTGCATAGCACCGGTGGAAGGGCCCCCCTGCGTAGCTCCAGTGGGCGCAGCTTCGTCGGAGGGTCTTCTCGAGTGTACTGCATGGGGGCCCTTGACGGGCCCCCTGTGGGGCTCCTTGAGGAGGGCCTTAGAGTGGTTCCTGGAGAGGCCCCTTTGGGGGCCCCTTGAGCTGCTGCCGAATTCCCCGGGGCCCCTTAATTCAACTGCGCTCTCAGCTGAAGGCAGCCGCGTAGAGTCTGCTGAACCTCTTTGCTCCTCAATGGGGGCCCCCTTGGAATTGGGGCCCTTCACAGAGGGTTGGGAGCTTTTTACGTCGCAGTAGCACCATCGTGCCTCCTGACTAGAGCTTTCCAGACTGTTCTGCTGCTTCAGGTGCTGCAGCAACTCCTCCTGCAGCTGCTGCTGCTGCCGCTGCTGCTGAAGCAGCTGCTGCTGCACGTGCTGCAACATAGGCTCTAGTCCCGCCTCCCTCGTCACACGGCGACCAACGCTGGGATCGTTAAAGGGAGGCTGCCTCTGATTCTGCTGCTGCTGCTGCTGCTGCTGCAACGCATCCTGTGTCTCTACGAGTTGCTGCCGCTGATGGTCCAGGATTTGCTGCTGCAACTCTCGCTGCTGCTGCAGCTGCCGTTGCAGTGCTTGATGCTGCTGCAGCAGCTGCACTCCTTGAGCCCTAAGAGAGGCTTGCATATTTGCCTGCTGCTGCAGCAGCAGCTGTTGCTGCTGCTGATGCCTCTTCCTCTTGTCGGCGAGTTCTGCTTCCTGCTTGTGGAGGTTCTCCTGCATCATAGTTAGTTGCTCCTGTTGCTGCTGCTGCTGTCTCCTTTCAGCAGCAAGTTCGCTCTGGGCTTTTCGGAAGGCTGCTTGCTGTTCTTCAAGCCATTGTTGCTGCTTCTGCTGTGCCTCAGCAGCTGCCTGTTGCTGCTGCTGCTGTGCTTTCAGGGCCTCCTGCTGCTGCTGCAGCAGCAACACACCATCCTCCACCTCCCGCTGTTTTGCGTCAACTGCTTGCTGCTGCTTGGCTAGCTCTTGCTTTTGCTGCTCAATAAGCTCCAGCAGCTGTTCATGCTGCTGTTGCTGTTGCTGCAGCTGCTGTTGCTGCCGCTGCAGCTGCTGCAGTTGCAGCCCCCGCCGCAGTTGTTGCTGCTGTTCGGAGGCCCCCTCAAACAGAGCTAAAAGGGCCTCCTTATCAGCTAGCTTCTGTTCGACAAGCTGCAGCTCTGCAGTTAGCCGCTGCTGCTGCTCTGTGGCATCGTCGCTGTGGGCATGATCTTGTTGCTGCTGTTGCAGCAGCAGTAGCTCGTGCTGCTGATATTCTCCCTGATGATGTTGCTGCATGGCGTACTGTTGCTGCTGATCCTCCCGCTGCAGTTGCTGCTGCACTTCCGCTTGCTGCTGCTGCTGCTGCGTGGTGGAGAAGACATCCAACTGAGCTGAGTGCAGCAGCAACTGGCGATCTTGTTGTTGCCTCTGCTGCTGCAGGTCTAGCTCCTGCTGCTGCAGGTCTAGCTCCTGCTGCTGCTGAAGGTACAGGCCCCGCAGTTGCTGCTGCTGCTGCTGCCTTTGCATTTCTAGTAGCTGCTGCTTGTTCTGCTCCTGCTGCATTCTCAGCTCCTCTAGGTGCTGCTGCTGCTGTAGATGCTGCAGTTTTAGCAGATCTTGCTCTTGTTGCTGTTGATCTTCCTGCAGTGACAGGCCCAGCTGCTGCTGCTGCTGCAGCTGCAGGGGAGCAGCTCCAAGTTGCCATTGCTGCTTCGAGGCGTCAAAGACGGCGGCCCTCTGCCTCCAGCTTGCTGCTGAAGGGACAGAAGTTGCTGGCAGTACTTCTTGTGCTGCTTGTGGCGCTGCTGCTGCTCCTGTTGCTGCGATGGTGCGCTGCTGCTGATGCAGCGGCCCAGCTGCCTCTGGGCGTTGAGATGTGGGGCCCCCCAAAAAGGAAGCAGGGGGACCTGTACGGAGATTTGCTGGTGTTTGTGGAGGCACAAGACGGTATATCCTGCTGCAGTTGCGGCTGAGAGATGCTGATTCTGCTGCGCTGCAGGGGGTGATGTTGGGGAAGCGAGATAGCATGGCAGTGAAACCGAGCTGCTGCTGCATATACTGGGGCTGCATGTGCTGCTGCTTCAGTTGCGGATGCTGCTGCTGCATGTGCTTCTGCTGCGAGGAGTAGAGCGAAGCGCCCAGGGCTGCCTTTTGAGTATTGCGCTCAGCAGCAAGGGGGCCCCCGACACGGCTGACCGCCTGGGGGGAGGCAAGCGCTGTCTGGGGATTGAAACCACGAGCGTAGCACTGCATCGGGGCCCCCAACCTAGGAGGAATGCAAAGGGGGCCATTAGGCTCTGCAGCAGCGGCAGCTGCTGCTGCTGCTGCAGGGGTCCCCTGTTCTCGGCGCAGCAGAGCGGGTTGCTGCTGCAGGGTCACAGGAATCATGAAGCTTGAGCCTCAAACCCTAGACAACCAACCCCAACCCGTAAAAGCCAAACCCTAAACCCTAAGGTCCAAGCCCTAAACACTAAACCCTAAACCCTAGGCGGGAAGCTGCTGCGTCTCGCGGTCTTCGGCCGCCTCGCTGCAGCGGTCAGCTAAACTTCTGCTGCGTTGCTGGGTCGAGGCAAAGAAGAAGTCAACGGGGAGAAAAAGAATAGCGAAGGATATAAAAATGAAACAAAAGATATAAAACGCTTAAAAGACAAATTAAATGCTTGTGTAAGAACCAAGATCTCTAGGCCCTGCAGCAGCTCAGAGGCCTTCGAGGCCTGGCCCGTCGAGAGGACCGGAGTCTCCCTCCTGCACTATGGATCTGTTGTTAATGCGCCTCTTTTGGGGCTAAACAACACTGAAATTTATCCTTTATACCATTCATTTTTATTTTTACATATATGTTTCACCCTTTAATCCCATAACATCGGGGTCGAAACTCACCCGTCCATGCACACCGCTGCAGCAACTGTACCAGCATCAGCAGCAGCAGCAGCAACAGCAGCAACAGCAGCAACAGCAGCAACAGCAGCAGCCCCGTCCCGACCGGGGCTCTCTGGAGACAGCGGGCTTTGGACTGGTAGGGGCTTCCAAAGAATGTGAATATGTAAAAAAAGGAGTATTTGCAGCAACCCTGCAACAAAATGAATAGATAAAGACATCCAATGGGGGTGTAAGTTTCGCCGCTGTGTGCAGTCGACGAGGTGCTGCTGCATCTGGAGCAACTTGGGGGCCCCATACCCCAGAAACCAGGGCCTCCCGTACAAGATAAAAGCCCAGGGGCCCCCAAGGGATACCCCAGCGAGACTTCTGTACGGGGGTGGGAAGCCACTCGCACTGTGGGCAGCGACGCTGCAGCAAGAGCAACAAGCCGTAGCAACTGCAGAAAGCTGCAGCAATGAACCCGTCTGCAACAGGGGCCCGTGGGGCCCCCACTCTCTCTGTGGAGTCTCGAGGGTTTGGGGGCCCCTACACTGGAGTCGGCGACAGAAAAGTACGCATATTAACCCTAAACAATTCCTAAACCCGACCCCAAACCCCCGCTGATCCTCCAGCTGAGGACTCCGCATCAATCTACAAGCTGCCAAAGGCTGAATCAAATGACGTGCAGCTAGCACGAGAAACAAGCTCAAAAACAACAGGAGATACACAGTAAAAACAAACAAAAATAAATTTAAAACCTTAAGCATCCGAGGTGTGCTCAGGGCGCAATCTGGGAAGAAAGCAGCAACCAACGCGAGAACAATTGGCCCAGAGCAAACAGCAGCACCGGTATGCTGCTGCTGCTGCTGTTTCTGCTGTTGCTGCGGCTGCTTAGACTGGTGCTACTTGTAATGTTGAAGCTGGTGTGGATGTTGCTTCTGCCGCTGCTTCTGCTGCTAACGAGACTCTATGGAAGAAGCGGCAACTGCAAGAGCAGGACGAGTTACAGTTTTTGCTGCCCCATTTTGTTTGGAGCGGAGACAGTAGCATATCGATATCAGCATACATAGCTGCTCTATTCAATATAGAGGACAATACGGAGTTGTAGTTGCTTATGTTTACATCTCTAGTGCTTATTTCCCCCTTAAAGGACCCACTATTCTTCTTTTTTGTTTTACTTCTGCTCTGTCTGTGCGCTGCTGTTGCTCCGGTCCTTTTGTCTGCTTCTTCTGCTGGTTGCTTCTGGCGTAATAGACAACTCCAAAGGAGTCTCAAAGGGACATGCGGAGGTGAGCCTCCTGTATGCATTCCCAAAGAACAATACATCTCTGCAGAAGCAGTAGTAACAGCTGCAAAAGCAGCCTTGCAAAACTGCTGTAGGAAGGAGCAACAATAGCCGTTGCAGCAGCAGCAGCATAAAAAGCACCGGTAGCCTTGCAAGCGGCAACAGTACTATGACAGACGCGAGCAGCAGCAGGAAGAGTGCGAAAACAGCTGTGGCAACAGCAACAGTATGATCAGCAACATCAGCAGCAACAGCTTGTCTTTGGTTTCCACTGTGCCTTTGCGCTGCAGTTCTCGGTGGAGGAGCTGCTGCAGAATTTGTCTAAAGACAGCACCCCTCAGCAGTGAGCTTGTTGCTGCTGTTACGAGTAGTGTCGTTGTTGTTGCTGCTGCTACGGTGGTATTGCAGCTGATCCTATACTCTATCTCTACGGTGTTGCTTGCGCTCCTATGGCTTTGTCCACGTTGCTGTCGATACTTTTGTGCCCCTGTATTTCATTAAATTCCTCTTTCAAAGACAGCAAAATAAAGCAAGACAGAATGAATGTGTTGATGCTATCTTTTGCGCACAGCCCAACCCCCACAGCCGAGAGAAGCCCTCAGGCCGACGCCAGAAGCAGCAGCAGCAGCAGCAAGAACAACAACAATAACAGCAAAAGCAGCAGCAGCAGCGGGGGGGGCAAAAACCCTTTATCTGGGCTGCCTGTGCACGGTTCAGTTCAGCGCTCCTACGCGGCATTGGGAGGTGACTCTGGAATGAGTGGCACAGGCAAGCGAGGTGTCTGGGGAGGCGATTGAAGCAAAAAAACTTGAAATTTGTGTTTGTCTCCACGCCCATTTGTTGGCTGCACCGCGTGCCTCAGGGCTGCGTTGCTTTTCCATTCAAGCCGGAGGCAAGGCAGAGGCAGCGGCTGCTTGCATTTTGAACGTGGAAAGATTAGCGTTTTGGTGTCCTTACAAGTGCCAATATAGTGCCATTATAAGCAAAGGATGCAACCAGAAGCTCCATATAAGATGCATCAGTTCAACAGGGCCATGCTAGAGTTGCATTGTAATGCTCTAAAATTTTGGTTTGGTCTAGGGAAGAGGGTCTGGGGAATAGGGTTTAGGGTTTATATGGTCTGTATGGTGAACGCACAGGGCCCGAAGCTGCTCTTGAGCTGCACACAACAGAGGCAGTAAGGCCGAGACACAGGAGTATCCATTGCTCCCCCTACTTCCGCTCGCAGGCGTTGGCAGTAGCAGCAGGAGTATTCTCCTCTGCGCAAGCAGCAGCATGAGGACAAACAGTAGCACCAGGACAAGCACCAGAAGTAGCAAAAGGAACAACATTAACCACAGCGCAAGTATTAACCGATGTAGCATAGGAAGCACCAACCAAAGCAGCATGAGCAGCAGCACCAGCGGCAGCAGCAGCAGCAGCAGCAATGCGTCCAATATGGCAAAAGGACGTTCTGGGTTTGTTGTGCTGGACTCGCGTGATGCATTCAGACTTCAGGGGCTCCCTGGGACATGGACAGTCTATTAGGTTTGAAGCGGGCACCACCCCCTGGGGCTCCATCTGGCAGCAGCAGCGCGCCTCAGCCTGCTGCTTCTGCGGCAGCTCCCACTCCTGAAGTCGCTCCAACCTCCTTACCCATGGAGGCACCTGAGAAGCCCGCTGAGGCTTCACAAGTGCCCCGTTTTTCTGCGAATGCAGCAGTGAGATGTTCACATTACCCTTTTGCTTGTAGCCGTTCTTTGAAAGCATAAGTGAGAAGTTCATTGGTAACGCTTTCCCCTAGTTTGTGTTGTTCCTATGTGTGAGCTAGATAATAAAGTGTTTGGAGGCTGTCTAAAAGCCATAAATTGATTCTCTTACGTGAGCATGTTATATCCTCTGTTCGTGTGGCGAAGTGGATTTTGTCGCTGCTTCTGCCAAAGCAACAATTTGCTCGGTGTTTGCGTTGAAAATATGAACAACAATAAGATATATTTGTTGTATGTCGCGGTGCAAAAATCTGTTTGTACGCCAAAGTTGCGGCACGCGTGGCGTTGGTATTAACCCACTGCCTTTTTTGCTGTTTATGGTGAAGCAATAACCAGGTGGTCGTTCGCATTAAAACAGAGTCATATTGCTATTATAGAAATACTGTTGTATTGGATGCTTATACTGAATCAATAAACTAGTGGTTGTCAATATTGAAACACTAAACTGTAGTCTATTTTTACGGAAATAGCAACATAAAACACAATCTATTTGTTTTACACTGCACTAATATGCCATTTGCGGGTTGCATTCAAACGAAGCCTCCTTGGCTTTTAGTTTGCAAAAATAACTACGTTTGCGTATCCTGCAACAGTAACAGATTCTTGTTCCTTCTACAAAATTGCATCTCTCGTTTGTATTGTAGCAATGACATTTTTTTGTTGCAATAAAGCAATAACGCACCTGTAGTTTACACTGCAGAGATAGTCTACTACTGGCTATTGAAATAATGGGCTCTTATGTTGGAAACATCCATTGGCTGTTGCTGATATTGCAACAGCGATTTGCTTGTCGTGTCTGCTGAAGCGCGGACGTGTTTTTCCAGTGTAGGTCTTCTATCGGACTTTGTTGGATTCGGTGTTCATTTCCCGATACACTGCCTACAAAATATTGGTTCACTATACACAACCGGGCCGCAGTGGGCCTTGCTTCATGGAGAGAAATCAATTTTCTGCCTTTTTTGCAGAGTCTGGCGGAGGCAAATCTGCGGAATGCCCAGCTTGAGTAATGCGAAATCGTAAACACTAAAGTTGAAGCATCAAACAATCACTCCTACGCCTTCACAGGCAAAGGCCCAGCAGCCTTATCCCTTCTTATGCCTTCTTTCTGGCTCTAAATACCAGACATATTGCCGGTGCCGTTTTGCTTCTTACGAAGTGTTGTGTGCCGCTGTTGTAGCTGGTGTTGTAGCAGCCGCAGCTCTTACTTGTGTTGCTGCCCCCTGCTGCTACTGCAGCTGATGCTACTGTGGTTTCTGTTACTGCAGTTGATTCTGTTTGTCCTGTTTAATTTTTCCGTTACTGCTCTTGTTTTCGTTTGTGTTGAGCCAGCCTCTGCCGCTGTGCGATATTCTCCTTTTTCGCCGTGGCGGATGCAGGGCAGAAGCGCAGCAGCTGCGTCACGAGTTGCTGCTGCTGAAGCGACGCATGCAATGTGAATCAGCAGCACAACAAGCACAGCACGAGGCGGATATAGCAGCAGCTCGAGCGGACTGGGAGTCAGAAAAACAAAAACTAGTAATAAAAAACCGAGCTCTTCAAACAACCGTAGACCAGTGGGCTACACATACTCAGGTCTACACACACCGCAGAGCTTCTAGTCTTAATGGCTGCCGTAGCAGCAGCCGCCACTGCTGCAGTTGCGTCTTCAGGCGGTGCCACTGTAAGAGATATGCCAACTGCACTCTGCTGAGCTGCTGAAGCAGATTAAGCAATCACAGCAGCTGGCGCTGGCTGAGGCACGGCCTCTGAAGCATCTGCTGCTCATGCTGCTACGCAGAAAAAAAGGCATGGCCTACCCTTTTTTACTGCTCCCGTTGCTGCTATTGCTGCAGGACGCTAGCGCGGTACGAAGAAGACGTGCGTCTCTTGGGTCAGGCACGTGGTTGTGTGCTGCAGCAACAGCGGGTAGAGCAGCAACAGCAGCAGGAGCAACAGCAGCTGCAGATGCAGCAAGCCCTGCAAGCGGAAAGAGACCATTGGTCCGCTCGCCTGCAAGCAGTAAATGACGAATGGCGCAGAAAGCTGCAAGACGAGCAGAGACAGGCAGAGGCCAAACTGCAGCAGCAGCAACGGGTGTGTCTAAGAGAAATTCACTAGTCGTTGCTTTTAAAGTTTATTGTTATTATCATTGTTCCCATCTTGGCCTTAGCATGCTTAGAGGTGCTATTTTTCCCCCACTGCTATCATGTTGCGCTGGTCCATACTGTGATATTGTTGCTGTGTCAGGTCTCGAGTAGCAGTGCACTGCATGCAACTTTTGTCCTTAGTATTTCTGCCCACTGCATAAACTGTTTCTATTGGTGTATGAAGACTGACATTCTCTGTCTGGTGCACCTGTTATGAGTGTTTAGCACCTGCAGCAGTGCTGCGTTTAGTGTGACTGAGCCAAACTCTCTTCTCGCCGTTGCTCCTCTAGTTCATTGTGCTTGTCCTGCATAGTGAGCTCATGGGGGGACTGCGTCTGGCCCTACATTCTACACAACAACATCCACTCAGAAGGGGTGCTGCAAGAACTCTTTGCTGCAGGAAACCCCCGTATGGCACGAACTGCACGCCCTTGCCCTGGAGTCACAGAGGCGCTCCGAAGAGTTCAAGCGCCTGCTGCAGTCGCTGCAGCAACAACAGCAGCAGCAACTTAAGCAGCAGCAGCTGCAGCTCCAGCAGCTGCGGCAACAGCTGCTGTTGCAGCAGCAACGGGCAGAGGGGGCTGACCCGGAGAGACAGTGCGAAGTAAGCGAAAAAGCTGCCTACACATACTACACTGCAACCTGAAATGCGGGGCTCTTCTGCACATGATCCTCATTACGGCGCTTACCGTTTTAAGTGAGTAGTAAAACGCAACGCTGCTGCCACCGACGTCGTTGCTGCTGCTGCTGCTGCTGCTGCTGCTGCGGCGGCGGCGGCGGCGCGCATGTGTGTTGACTCCAATCGTAGGCCTGTGGGCGGCATGCAGAAATGGAAAGTGCTGTGACAGCGTTGCAGCAGCAGCAGCAGGCGCTGCAGCAGCAGCAGCAGGCGTTGGTGCTGCTTGCCCAGGAGACAGCCAAGCTGAGGGACGAGACGGAGCAGCGCACAAAGGCTGCCTCTGCTAAGTGCGGCACAAACAATATTTGAAATTCCTGCAGCTGGAGTGTATGATCGACAGTGAAAATCACAGGAACAATACAAGCAGAAAGCGTAGCGGCACCATTCCTAGGGTCGGGATCCTGGATCAAAGCTTACGCACATCTCTCTAGTAGTGTGTTAATAGTATACACATATACATGGATATGCATATATATATATATATATATACATGGATGCACATGCACTCACATATTTACACATATTAGCAAGTCTCGTCTGAGGGGCTTTCGCGTATCAAACCGGCAGAAAGACTGGGAAGGAAGGGCTGCACTTTGCTGCGCTCCAGGCTTGCAGCAGAATCGTTTCAGCTACAGAACCTGCACCGCTCGCTGTTAGAGAGCCGGCAGCAGCAGCAGCTGCTGCAGCAGCAACAGCAGCAGCAGCTCCAGCAGCAGCAGCAATTCATTGAGCAACAGCAGCACGCCTTCGCCCAAAGGCAGCTGCAGGCTGAAAGTGAAGTGGCCACAAAACAACTGGAACTTGAACAGGCATAGAAAAGCCCTAGATATCCTTTTGTGCCTTCGCAGTAGAAAGTGATAGTCAAGCAACAGCTTCAGCAAGAAAGCGCTCCAGCAAGCAAACTCTCGTCTCAGCAGCACTCTTTCTTCTGCTGCGAGCTTCTAGAGGAGCCCGTCCTGTTGCTGTGTTCCGCTTGTTACAATCCAGAAAGAACGCGACATCGAAAGGAGAGAAGGACGCCTGGCAGGAGCAGTCGTCATCCACGAAAAGCAACAGAAAGCCAGGCGGGATTATCTGCAAACAGCTGAATCCCACTTGTTGAAGCTGCAAAAAGCCTTACAACAAGAGAGGCGAGGATATATTCAGCTAGACTTGCACTCTCGCATGCACACCCAAGCCCAAATAAACACAAGCCCACAAATAACAGACCCACGAGAGAGTGGTTGATCGGCGTAACCGAGCGCAGCCAAATGCACGTAACTAGAGGCAGATAACCACATGCATACTGCATAAAGAAGGCCAGAGGTGTCAGCATAATAAACCAGAGAGATGCATGCGTGGAGAAACACTAGTGCCCGCACAGAAGTACAAATGTAGTTGCACTTTACTTTCTGCATAAACAAGCGAGCGTTAAGAGGCCCTAATGGGGCACCTACAAATGGACCCCGAGGGATGGGAACAAAAGCAGAAACAAACGCAGATACAAACGCCATAAAATGCATACCCTCGCACACAGACACCTACATCCACGCATTTACACATGTGTGCATAAATAGGCAAGAAGGCAAAAGCAGAGACGTACAAAACATCGTCAGCACAACGGAAAATAGCAGACACAAACACAGACACACACACATACACACACACACACACATACACACACACACACACACACACACACACACACACACACACACACAGGAGAAACAATGAATGAGAGGCGAAAGGGCTTTTTCTTCAAGTGTTCGAGGGTACCCGAATGATTCATGGTTGCAAGGGCCATAATCAAGGAGACGGAAAGAGATGCTCACACACAAACACGCGAACATAAACCCACAAAAACAAATATACAAACAAATTGGCGAAGAACACAGAGACTCATGATAGAGGGCACTTACAGTGATGCACGCAAATGCAGAGCGAACAGCAAGCGTCAAGACGCCGACAGACAAAAAGGGGCCAGCCCGGGAGAGACCGGCAAGCACATGCGTACACACACAAGCAAGCTCACAGATCAAGGCACACATAAACAAGCACACGCAAATTATCTTACACTCAGCTGAGCTTGAGTAAGCACTTCCATTCCCCGTTGGTTGATGTTTTCTGCAAACCGTGTACATGATGTGCGGTATAAGTTGTTCGCGCTGCCACATGTGGAATTCAGTGGTGCCTTGCGTGCTACACGGTCTCTGTCCTGCACTCTGCTCAAGGCGCTGTGAGGCCTGCAGCGTCGCCTTGATCTGTTATGAGTTGGCTGTAGGCTGCCGGTTGCGGAAGTTGTGCCCGCATATGTTCTTTTTGCTGCATGTTTAGACAAGAACTGACAGAGACGGCTTTGGCTTTGGAAGAGAAGCGGCGGGCCATGCGCCGGTGTTTCGAAGATATGGAGGTCCAGCGGCTGGCATTCGAGAGCCGCGCAGCTGCTGCAGCTGCAGAAGCCCAGACAGCGGCTGCTGTGGCTCGGAATGCCAAGACTCTTCAACGAGAAAGTATTCAAGCCAAAGAGGCGGTTCACCAGCTCCACCGGCAGGCCAAAGACGTACACATGATCTGCACGTGCTGCTTCACATGCAGCAACAACACACAAGGGAAACGGAGAAAAATGCAGAAAATAAAATGCAGAGATCAACGGGAGTGTGAATGAGCTTTTCCAAAGACCTCACTGCAGCCTCACAACAGTGGAGGAGCACTGGTGTTGTTAGTGATATTTAGCCCACTTAACGCATACCAAAGAAAGTCACTGAAACTGGAATGCAACTGTTTATGGCCAAGTTCAGCCGTGTTAGGCACCCATAGGAGACACAAGAAAGCAGGGAGACAAAGAGGAAATAACTCAGCGGTAGAGGCAAAGAGGGGGGCAGAGAAAGGCGGCTGTTATTTCAAGCATAGGAAGAGTGCGATGGGCTTGCGTGGGTGTAGGCCGAGCGGCAGCAACAGGAGCAGCAAGAGATAATCAAATCGCTCTTGAAAGAAGTGGAGACCAACCGGCTGGAGCTGCTGCGCATGCAACAGCAGTCGGGCCAGCTGTATGTGCACCGTTTCCCCAGCGCCCGTTGTTCTGTAATGGGAGGTTCAAGGCCGCAATTTTCATTTGTTCTAAACCGTCATACTCAGATGCCGCATGGAAGCATCAGGGCTATTTTCTGCAACAGCAGCTATATCTCCAAACCTCTCACCGGGGTTGCCGAGTCTCCTCTACCCAGGAGCTACAGTCATCAACCCGCCAAACACGTTCTCCCCTTGCAATATTTCCACCCGGAGGGTAAGGCATTTCAAACCCAGCATACGCATACTTGTGCATGCATATATGTGTGCGCCGCTGCACAGGAAAGTGCATATGGGTACACAGAGATGCGCTTATTTACAAATACATGCATTTACATGCATAGATATTTTGCTTGTACTGCAACGATAATAAATGCATTTTATGTCTCTTTCCCTATATATGTGTGTATATGATCTATGGTCTATTCATGAGCATGTGATTGACGTTCCAAGCGGGTTGTCCGGTATGCCGGCATGATATACGGGAAGAGGTGCACAGCGAGAAAGAGCAACTTAGGGGATTAGCTTGATTTTTGTTGGGGTGAGGCACCCTCCGTTCTTTTCTAATTGTTTTTGAGCTATTCACTTGGTTGAGAACAAAATGAGGCTGTCTCATTGCTGAAGTGCCGCCGATCGTTTCCTCACGAAGTTGCCTGCGCGCGTTGGTGGACTAAATGCAAACAACGCCCACTGCGCATCTCACCAATCTCGAGGCTTTACGCGTAGAGTTCAGTGCGATTGTGCTAAGGAAGATGCTTGAAAAGTTACTAAATAGAACTGAATATGATAGGATAGGATATAATAGCTGTGGATTTTTCATTGACGCTAAATAAGAAAGGGCTCACATGTCTCTGACTGCGACGGCACCCATTTTTCCAAGCAAGCATTGCCTTTGTTGAAGAATATAGCAAGGCTGCTGACGGGATAAAGCGTGTGTTGGGATACATCTGACGCTGGGCGCCCAGTGGGCGCTGTGGAGCTCGCGGAAAGAGCAAAAGGATGATAAGACCCAAAGAGATGAGAGTCAATACTTGCCGAAGTGCCTGCGCACTCCTGCTTCCTTTTTGTTGTATTCCAGTGGCATTTCAGGAAGCGATGAAGTCCCTGTCAAGAACAAGTGAAATCCTAACGCAGAAGAAGGAAGCTGCTAGTGAGCGACTTTTGGGCCTACGTAATGAACCATGCAGCACTTCCACTGCAAGGTATGAATGCAGAATCAACGGTGGGTGCTCTGCTGCAGCAGATGCTGCACATCCGATGCATCGGCTTTATCGTATCGATTCCCCTTTCAGCCGTATGCTATCCCGTTCATGTTTCCAAACTTCGTGTATCCCACGTAAGGAACAAATGCCCTGCGTATCGCTGCAGCAGCCTCGGAGACATGCAACAGATGATGACGGGCGTAAAGGCCTTCCAAGCTGGCCTCCCGCATTCTAGCGGTGCTTCTCTGGGCACTAGCCAGTCTCTCGCCCGCTTGCGACATCCACAACAACAGTTGCCCACCCCCCACGCGGGGCACGCAGAGCTTATTGACGGTACGCCTCTGCACTAATGGGTTGCTCCCGCACAGCAGAAAGTTCGTAGACTTCTCTGTATCCCGTTGGGAACCCTCTTATTTGTTTGGGTGTTTCCCTCTATAAACCACACACCGACCTCAACCACTAATTCCAGTCCATAAATATGTCTATCGTTCTACTAACCTCTATACTCAAAAATATGGGGGGCAATATTGATTAAAAGTAGGAACGTTCCCTTCTCGTGTTGCGTGTTCCTCATTTAAGATTTGCACCGCCGTCCTTTCGGATTGCTCCGGGTGATTTTGAACTTGTGAATTTAAATAATGTGGGGCCACTGCAGGCATGCTTGAAGCAACATGCGCTTCCCTAGCCAGTCTTGAAGAGGTCGCTGCCCCCCATACGGAATTTGTTCCCTAACTGAGGCCTTGTAGGAAGAGCAAACGATCAAACGGGAAAGATAGAATGCTTAGTGTACTGCCTATGACGAGCTTAGGTGCCACAGGTTTTGACGGTTGCTATGACCTCCCAAACCACTACTGGCGGGGCAGGCATAGATGAAATTTGTGGTGGTGGTGGGACCTTCGAAACCACCAACGTTTTTCATTGACTTGCACGGAATTCTGCCAGTCCGTGTCGAATAATGGAGGTTTGCTTTTATGTTTTAATGATGGTAATGTTGCAAGTAACTGACTTTGGTTGCGGCAGGCCGCTAAGCTGCCCCACAACATAAGCAAACACCCCTTGTATCTCCTCCAAAGCCCATTGCTGGTTCTGTCCATGGGTTACGTGGCAGGCGCATCATCGTTCAAACTGGCATTAGTCCGTTACATACCTGATGATAGTGAAAGGGATGCGTCGTTGTGTTGCGGGCTCCAGCCGTATGACTTCACAGTCAAGTACAGGCTTCCGCCAACGTGATCACCGGCGCATTCTCCTACCAAGAATTAGAGGCACTTGAGGATTTAACGAATAAGAGGCACGCAATTTAGAGGGAAGGTTTCAGTCCTTGCAGATAACCCAACCAGCAAATCACTGCGTCCTGCAACTGCTCTTATCTGCAAGGACCGCAACCTTCCCTCTAAATTGCTTGCCTCTTATTTGTTAAATCCTCAAGCGCCTGCAATTCTTGCTGGTCCCGACAACGGGCGATTATTTGAGCACTGCAGCGTAGAAGGATACTTCTTGTGATACCAGACGAACGGTGAACTCCGTCTATTATACGTCTCAGCTTTGTTTCGCACAAAGGTTTCGCTCAAAATGCGCGCTCCTGCTTTCTTGGCCCATAGTGGGGTCAACCCAACAGCGGAGCAGTAGACTAGGTCCTTTTGATGGCCTGGCCTTCGTCCCGACGAAGATAAATATCTCGTCAATTGTCCAGAAATCCAGGAGCAAAGGTCACGGAAGCACGCTCATATCCAGACTCTTGCGGAGTATTTCTATCCGCTAGAGGGTCTGAATAGACACATCAATAGACTACATTGTAGTGAGTACGTTTCCCTCTCAGCATTGCACTTAAGACTTTGCTTCAATTTCATGGACGGAGTCGAGGAGAGGCGCTCTGGGCAGGTGCCAAAGCAGCTGCTGCTTAAGAACGGGCTATTCCTTATGGAGGACGAGAGGCTACTTTGTTCACCTTACAATGCATACGACGGCTTTACACCTGCCGACTGCATGTGCATAGGGATTGCACGGCTTGCTTACATAAAAGCAAGGAGAACGCACGAAGCAACTGCCGACGTGAGAATGTTCGGACCAACGACAATGCCACAATAGCCAGCATTGCTCAGAGACTCTGGCGTCTGTAAAACCATGGATCTTATAAATGGGGAGCTCCCCTGCCCGGTGTAGGAGCCAGTTTCCGAGGTTTAGGGATTAGGGTTTAGGGTTTAAGGATTTTAGGGTTTATGGTCTAGGGTCTAGGGTTTAGGGTTTAGGGTTAGTGTTTAAGGTTTAGGGTTTAGGGTCCAGGGACTAGAGTTTTAGGGTTGAGGGATTAGGGTTTTAGGGTTTAGCGCTTAGGGGTTTAGTGTTTTAGGGTTAAAGGTTTTAATGTTTAGGGTTTAGGGTTTAGGGTTTAGGGGTTTAGGCTTTAGGGTTTAGGGCTTTAGGCTTTAGGGTTAAAGGTTGAAGGCTTAGTGCTTAGGGTTTATGCGTTGGTGTCGAAGCCATATTCACAGTAGGACGGCGCGACTTGGGTGGGATGGGCGGGGGTTATTCGCGTTCACCACTTCACCAGCTTCGTAGGTACATGCATCCAGGTGAAGGAGGACACCGTTCGCAAGAAGGGCAGTAGAGGCGGATCCGGAACACTGTTAAAGCCAAGAAGGTTTGTGTGAAGTCACGCATTTGTGGGTCTGCTTGATATCCTATAATTTGTTGGTTTTTTGCAAGCCTGCATGACTAGTAGCGTCTGCTGCTCCGTGGGCGAAACTTATGGGGGCTCGCGCTCCACCATTCGCCCGTCGAAGTTGTTCAGCACGCCTACGTGCAGCAAGAAAGCGACGAGCGCTGCGCTTCTAGGTGCTTGACACTGTTGCATGCCGATCCTCAGTGGCGTGGAGACATTCCTTTTGTCGGCAAATTGGCGCCGCCTATGTTTTGCTACGTAACAAAAACGAGTCCGTCGATTTTAGGCGAAATGAATATTGGCTAACGGACAGAGCACTGGAAACTGTACGTTAGTTGCGGCGTCTCTTAGACTGGTTGCAGTTTGCCTGGAAACACGCCTGTGTGAGAAGCAACGCACCTGCCGCTCGCACGTGCAAACATTGCGCGTCACAGATGAGCCGTTGTGGAGGCGTTGTTTGGAAGAGAGAAAACTGCACACACAGCAGCTTTGGGACTTTTGCGGAGGGGCCATACGCATCGGGGCTAGCCACAATTTGCACCCAAGATGCTCTCTCAGTATTTTACTTGGTGCGCGCGAGGATTCCGACCATGGGGTATCTCGCTTCTATTTCCTGGACGGCTTTTGCGCAGAGGAATATGGTTACGAAAGACACACCAAAAACGCGCATTCACAGTCATGGCTCCTGCGCTCGGCTATGCGGGCGCTATTTAACGACTTCGCATGAATGAGCGATGGCTTGCCTGCGGGGCCTTATGCCGGGAAGACTCTGCAGTTTACTATATCTGTTTCCCGGTTGCTTTAGAGTTGCGTATGTGTTTGCTTCCTTCGATAATTCGTTGTTTCTAATTGCACTTATCTAGCCTTGGACAACGCTGCCATGGAATGCCAGGTTTGCGGCAGTATCGCTCTTTCGCAGAATGTTTGCTGGCTGAGTTTCGGCGGTGTTGACGCTGCACATATATTCCGATTTGGCCGGCGCCTGTGGGCGCATTTTGAGGTATGTTTGTCGTTTTGGCTTGATGCTCACGAGGCCGCTCGTCTCATGGAAGACACACACAAATGTACTGCATGGATGCTAATGCGAGAGAACTGTGGCTGCAGTGTACGGTGATGCACAGTCGGTGGCCGCGAGAAGTCACGTCATTTACCCAGATATCTCTGCTTTGCGCTCTGGCCTAATTGTCTGAATGCTCAACTTCGTCGTTGACTGGGCCTACTGGTGTTGTCGCATTGCATTCATCTATCTTTGGACAACGCTGCGATGGAATATATGCCTTGCAGCTTTCTGAGAAGAACGCAAGCTCTTGAGAGAAGATGCTGTAGCTGAGTACTTTTAATAACGTTCTGTTTGCGTCTCAGGAAATGTAGGTGCCGCGAATTTCGAATAGCCTGTCTACTGGTTAATCTGTAAGCTAATGGCATTTAGGCTGTTGCGCAGAACGTTTGCTGGGCCGAGCTCTGGTGGAGTTGACGTATATATATTCCTATTTGGCCGGCGTCTGCACGCGGTTCCGGAGGTGCGTTTGCCGTTTTGGTTTTCATTTGCACAAGGCTGTATATCTCCTGGAAGACGCGCGCAACTGTTTTACATGCGCTATTACGCGGGAGAACTCAGGTTGCTGTGGCTTCGTATTGGGGTGGGCAGGGGAAAGGCTTCAGTACTGTATGGTCTGTGAAGCAGCGGCGCAGTCCTAATTCACGTGGAGCATTTGCTTAAAACTCGCGGCGAGCAAGCGTATCTAGATCAGCAGTATCTGGGCTGAAGCAAGCCGCAGGAAGTACGACTGTCCCAGGATGCTTGTAGAGCAACCGGATCGGCTGGGGTCTAATGGATGCACAAATCGACGTCACGAGGAAAGCCGTAAAACGCTGGTGCAGGCGAAGAACTGTGGGGGGCCTCTGTGTGACAGCAGCATGTCGCATCGGTGCGCAGCGGTTTGGCACTGGCATAACGCGGGCGTTTCATGCAGTTCGTAGCAGATGCTCCGCACCGCTTTCATACGCTTTCATAGACAGCCAGCATATTTGGCTAGTTCCACAGCTCTACATGGGACAACTTTCCGTTGCTTTGGGTGTCTTGACTGTTGCACCTTATGAATGACTGAGTGCGGCTGTGCGGATATTTGGGAGCCAGCCACACTGAACGGGGCTGTATGCTGTGCTCCATACCCAGTTGGGTATTGTCGCTGCACGCTGCTTGGGGATGTTGGTCAGGCGGACAGCATCACGTGCGTCGGATCGAACTAATTTGTGCGCACCTGCCGATTTATTGGCAGTGTCTACGACCGCGTTGTCAATGGGATTTTGTGGATGCTGTTACCGGGACTCTGCGAGCATCGGCAACAGGCTTGCCTGTCGACGGTTTATTGGTGTATTAGGCAGGCATGCAGTTGATAGCGGAACCATTTTGCACGGAAGGTGCTAGGGGCGGATCCATCCGCTGTGTAGGCTGGGTCAGGTATACAGCATGCGCGCATTCAGCCGCACTGTGGAGTTTCTTCCTGGGACCTTCAGGAAGTGCATGAGAAGCAAATTCCACCTCCAGCTCTCTGGTATTCACAGCACAGTATGCAGCAGTCAATGGTGCTGTTAGCCGTAACAATCGATGGTTTAAAAAGGGAAGCGAAGAACTTTTTCACGTGCCAAGTTTGACCTCCTGTAGTCCCTGCTAAATTGTCTATCCGCGAGCAAAAACATTGGATGCGCCTGTGGCATGCACTAAATTTGAGCCTAAGTTGTTCAAGACGGAACAGCGTAGACTGGTGAGTTTGTGCTGTGACTTGGGATGCCGCCTTTTCGCATCTTGACTTAAGTTCGGTGTTCCTAAGTTTTTCCTTTAGAGCGTGTTTGCCTGCGGTTCACTTTCTCCGCTGGCTACCCTTTGCGTGGTGCGCGCAATGAAGACATTGTGCATCGCCCTCCCCAAAAATGCGCAGCGGTGCACTTGGTGCATTTCAATCATGCACTCTATCGGGTATGCGTGATTTTGCTACAACCTTGCGCCCAAGCGTTCGCCCATCATAGTTGTCCAACGAGCGAGCGTACTACCGTAGGGAACGAATCCTGCAACTTCAACTGGCGTGGTGTTTCACGCCGTTGGACGCGAATCGCCAGCCAAGTAAAGTCACGCAGTTTGTCGAAGCATTTGCCCACCCGTGTTTGCTACCCACTAGCAACGATTACTTTGTTTACAGACAAACTGGGTGGGTGCGAACAAGGGCTGACGAGGGGATGAACCATTTGAAGAGCTGCGGCCGCCCTGCATGGCGGTCCCAATTTCTCAGACAGTCTGCAGTTGGCCAAGGGGCACCTCCCAGATGTGGATCGGCTTCTGCCACACAACCCCCGCATGCATACTTGCTCAAATGCATGTCTTGATTTATTTGCGCCACTCTTTGGTGGTGGTCCGCAAAGGTCCGCCACTGCGTGTTTGAGAAAATGAGCATTGCCCTGTTTGGGGAACTTCTCGCAACTCACTTTCGGTTGCATTACTGTTGCAAGCCCTTCTGATAAGGCGTTTCTCGGTGGTTCTGTGTGGAAGGGTGGCGACGCCGAGAAGGCCTTTAGC